GCTATGCATCTAAAAGTTGAACAATGATAAAAGAGGACAGAAGAAAAATGAAGCTTTTGAGTTGTGATGTTGGAGTAGAGTACTGAATATACCATGGACTGTCAAAAGAACAAAAAGTTCTACTTTGGAGAAAGCAAAACGTGAGTGGTCCTTGGAAGCAGTGTTGAACTTTGTTTCACATGTGTTGGGCATGTTACTAGGAAGGGCCAGTTCTTGGAGAAGGACTTCATGCTTGGAAAGGGGGAGAGTCAACATAAGAGAGAAAGACCTATAAAATGGGTTGATACAATGGCTGTAGAAATGGGCTCAAGTGCATCAGAGATTGCAAGGATTGTATAGGATATGTTTCAGATCTGTTACTATAAGGTTTCTAGAAGTCTTACCGAACTTGACCACATAATAACAAGAACATCTGGTGAATAGGGAGATTTAAAAAAAAAAAAATTTAGTTTACTTTTTTAACTGTTATTTTTTTTATTTAATAGTCATTTCGATGAAAATTTACAGAGACTTTGGGTTTCCATTCATTCATTGTTGCACCTTTCTCCTCTCCCAACCCACCCCCCTCCCTAGTATGCTACCCTCTCGGAAAAATAAAAGAAAAATTCTTTCAGTTCTTTTACAATCCCTCCCCCAGGCTATTTTAATAAATGTTTACAGAAAAGTTAGATTTTCATTCATTCATTGTTGCACATTTCCTCCCTATTCTCCCAGTTCACTTTAAAAAAATATTCATTCATCAGTGCCTAATTTTCTCCCTCTCCTGGAGTCCACTTTGCTATGCACCTCTTATTCTGGACTATTGTCATACAAATAATGCCTAATCATATTATCATTTTAAACATGGGTGTGCATATATCTGTTAGGGTGACAGCTCTGGGAAATTAGAACACTTATTCATTGCTGGTGGGAGTGTAAAATGGTGCAACCACTATGGAAGGTGGTATGGTACTTTCTCAAACAGTTGAAAATAGAAATACCATTCGACTCAGCAATTCCATTGATAGGAATATATCCCAAAGTAGGGAGCTCTTGTAGCATAATCTTCAGTAAATTGTGCTGCTAATCCAAAGGTGGTGCCTCTCTAGTGGTTTGAATCCTCTAGCTGCTCCAATGGGTAATACTGTCCCTTATAATTTCAGTCTCTAAAAGCCCACAGGAGGTTCAGTGATGAGTTTGTCTCAACTCAGCCACAATGGTAATTAGTAAATTAGGCTGACTTATTTACCGTCTCAACTGTCCCTGGATTAAACTTAAACTTCACATTCCTCAGCAGAAAGGCATTCTGCTTCCAAAAAATCCATCAATGTGAACTATTAGTCTTATACTTCACTGGAAGTATGAGCAACATGTTTTATTGAAGGACAGAGATATTTTTGTGAATCAACTGATATTTCAGCACCCAAGCAAAGTGTTAAAGTTTTAAATGAGGACAATATTTTTTTTTATTTTTTTTTAGTTTAGGTTGTTTATTTTTCATTTCAATGAACATCTACAGAGATTTTGGAATTCCATTCATTCATTGTTGCACCCTTCTCCCCGCACAAACCCCTCCCCCCTCCCCCCCATTTGCTCCTCTCCTTGAAAAGCAAAAGATATTTTTAATCAGATGGAGTAAATATAGTCAGAGGTACAAGGATGTGCATGATTAAAAATAACAAAGGGAGTTAATAAACAACAATCTTTATTCATAGAGGTGTTCTTTCTTTTAATTAAGCTGCATAAACATTCTTGGTAACTGTTAACAAACAAGGCCTAGCACATCCTATCACCTCTTGACCCTTGCTTCTTAAGTGTCACAAGTAATTAAACTTTCCTAGCAGTTTTATTGTTTCTTCAGAGAACCTGAAGCAGAGATTGTAGACTAAACTGCAGTTTGATTCAAAATGAAGGTTAATTTAAACTTAAGGCAACCATTTCAGTCATGCAAAGTGCTTTGTTTGGTTTTGAGGCCACAACATTTTACATGATATAAAATAATTCCACTCTGTCTTCTATAGGATTGCTATAACTCAGAACTCACTAAAGGAAACCATTTTCTTCTTTTGGGGGAGGAGGTTACACTCTGCCAGAAATCATCCTATTAATTAATATTGTTGTTGTTGATTGGTTTTGAGTCAATTGCAACTCCTAGCAACCCCATGAACAAAAGGCCTGAAGCCCCTCTACAACCATCAACATGTATCAAAGTTTACAAAGTTTCTGGAGCATGTTATTTAGGAAGTGGATGCGACTCCTGCTTCTGAAAATACAAAATTTCTACCATACATGTTTCTTTCTGTTAGTAGGCACCATGATGTGTGCTGAAGTTGAAAGATAATATCTTGGTATTTTACAGAATGCAATTGATATTTTTTTATATTATTGTTAGGTGCTGTTTAGTCTAAGATGACTCATAGCAACACTATGAATGAAAGATCTGAACCCTGTTCTATCCTGTGCTATCCTCACATTTCCTAACACACAAGAGCCCATTGCAGCAGTCACCATGTCAATCCACCTGGTTGAGAGTCTTCTTTTTCATTGACCTTCCACCCTTATGATCATCATGTTATATTCCAAGGAATAGTATCTCCTAGAAATGTCCCTAAAATATGTGATCTGAAGCCTCATCATTCTTGCCTCCAAAGAGCACTCTGGATGCACCCTCTCCAAGACATAGCTGTTTGCCCTCTTGGCCATCCATGGGAGGTTCAGTGCTATCCTCCAACACCACAGCTCAAAGGTGTTAATTCTTTTCCTGCCATCCTTATTCATTGTCCAGCTCTTAGATACATAGCAAGGAATCAGAAAGACTATGGCCTAAATCAGATGCACCTTAGCCCTCAAACTGACATCATTACTCCTCAATAATTTGGAGCAGATTTTCAAATCATACAGACTAAATTTTACATATAAATTTTGCAAATATGATAGATAATAATTTGACTTGCCATGAAATTTTATATTCCTTTACAAAAAATAAGGATTTCTAGCCTTTGTTTCTATTTATTTTAATAGGTACAATTATATTTTTTAGCATAGAATTTATACACCTACAAATCATTTAGGAAGCTCTGACGGATTAGTAGCTAGAAGCAGTGCTATAATCCTGAAGACACGTGGCTCAAGACCACCAGTTTCTATGGGGAAAGGATGGGCAATCTCCTCTCCTGTGAGTAATTGCCTCTGAAAACCCACAAGAGGGTCAGCTATGGTTCGGTTCTGACTCCACGATACACAAACAACACAGATTGTTTGTCAGTTATCTCATTATCTGACATTTCACATTATGATAATAGCAAAAAATCTACAATTCAATTATTTTACAGTCTTGTAGTAAAGAAAGCAAAAAGCATGAGGTTAATGTTCCATGTCAGCCTGATGGGCCATGAACCTCAGCGGTTTGCCAGCTATGTAACGATATAGTTCTTATTCATTTTATGATTTATATGATCATCTTCCATTTTTACATAATCCTGGTTCTTGGAACACGCTGTAATTATGTGCCATCAAGTTGGGATTAACTCATAGGTGACACTTCAGCAGGTTTTCAGAAGCTTTAAATTGCCAGGGAGCAGATTACTCATCTTTCTTCCATGGAGCAGCTTACGGATTCAGAACACATATCTTTGGATGAGAGCACAACTCCTTACCACAAGGCCACCAGAGCTTCCTCGTTGGGACCTAACCATGCTGGTAAGTGAGAATTAATAAACTTATCTATTCAATTTGGACAACTCTTGTATTCTCTTCCGGTAAAGGTTATTTGTCATCTAGTTAATTTTCATTCATGTTAGAATCCTGTGCTGCAGTATACAACTGTGCTCCACAGAGTTTTCAAAGCTATGGCATTTTGGAGACAGAACACCGAGCCTCTTTACTGAGGCATCTCAGGGTGGCTTGGACTCACCAAGGTTTTGTTTTGTACTTGTGTGTTTAGCCATCTTTATCCCTATTGTGTTGTTATTGTATCACTGAGTCAGAATCGACCCATAGCTGACCTTCTGGTGGGATTTCAGAGGCAGTTAATAACATGGGAGGAAATTGCCCAACTTTTTCCCTCAAAGCAGCTGATGGCCTCAAACCATGTGCCTTTGGGATTTTGGCGCAGCTTCCATATTTATCCCTGTTGCTGTTGTTGTTGTGTGTTGTCGAGTCGTTTGTGACTCATAGCGACCCTATGTACAACAGCCCTAAACCCTGCTCTGTCCTGTTCCAATCACACTGCCTCTGACACACCCATCCCAATTACCCCAGTCACCAAATCAATCCACCTCATAGAAGATCTTCCTCTCCTGCACTGTCCCTCCACCCTCCCAAGCATGATGTCCCTCTCCAAGGACCTGTCCCTCCTTACATGTAGCAAGTATGTCAGACAAAGCACCAGAATCCTTGCCTTCAAGGAGTAGCTTGGTTTAACCCTCTCCAGGATGAATCGGTTTTCTTGGCAGTCCAGGGTACATTCAGTACTCTTCTCCAGCACCACAACTCAAAGACATCAATTCTCCTTCTGTCCTCCCATTCTATACAATTTGTTCCTGTTGTTCGATGCTGTAGAGTTAAGATCTGAACACTATCCTGTTCTGGGCCATCCTCTTCACCACACTTGAGCCCATTGATGTAATCATTATTTCTGTCTATCTCACTGAAGGTCTTCCTCTCTTTGGACAGGTGACCTTCCATCTTTCCAAGCATGATGTCTCTCCCCAAGGAATAGCTTCTCCTTAGCAACATGCTAAAAATATGTGAGATGAAGGCCCAAATGGTAAAGAAATTTGCTGTCAATCCAAGGACCTATGGTTCAATTACGACAGCTGCTTCACAGGAAAAATGTGGGCAGTCTCCTTCTGTATGATTTACTGTCTCTGAAAATCCACTGTAGGGTCAGCTATGAGTTGATCCAACTTGATAGTACCCAAAAAAAACTATACAATCTAGACAACTTTAAAGATAAGAGTATAGCCATAGCTTATTTTTAATTAAGAGATTTTTTTTTTTGTTTTAGTGTGATAATTTACCTTCATAAATAACTCTCCCCCAGCCAGCAATAAAACAGTTTCTTCCTGGACGAAAGACTTGATTTTCTTCTGGTAAGCAAATAGGTTGTATATAATCTAAAAATAAAGAAAAATAAGATGTACTGTTTACCCTTAAGTGTACAGTTACACAACTTAGTTATAGTAAGGCTGTGGTATGTAGGCTAAAATCCGTGAGAGCACTTCCTCCTGAGAGAGTGGGAACGGGTTCTGAATAAATCTGAAGTTGAAGAGAAACTGTCAGGATAAAGTTCAGTCCCTCTGATGTTTTTGTGGAAATTATCCAAGCATTTCGAGGCATTCTTCCATCTGTGGCTCTATTAATACTATTGAATCTCCTTTAAGCATGTCATTCCATGGATAACTTACTTCTTCTTTCTTAGCACATATACTCTTTCCAAGTTTGTGTCTGACTCTAGTTTGAGCGGCAGATGGACTGCCATTCTTTTACCTAACAAGTAGATGGGTGTATGTAACAACATGACTTATTTTACTGTGCTGCTCCTTAAAGTTTACTGTGGCAGAGGGCTCTGTGAGCTCTAGTGTCCTAATTAACCTATAAAGTTAGATTTATATACTTTGATGAAAGTAAATTAATGTTTCTATCACCAAAATTCATTTAAATGAATAAAATAATTATTTTTAATTATCTAATTTTAAGTTATTCATATGTTGATATTGATTATATTTTGAATCAAATAGTCAGTTGATTTGACCAGATTCAGTTAACTAAAATTATTTCTTTTACCTGTGTAATTCACTTTAACTTCAAGATGCATCATGACAATGTCATTGTCTTTTCTTCGTTTATTGTAATGTGGATTTATGACAATTTGGTCTATCAGCCGAGTTACCACTTGAGGAGAAGTCAGATTTGATGTTGTATGCAGGCCCAGGATTGCCTTCCACTCAGAGGGATCTAAATTCCTCCTGAGAATTTAAATAGAAATATTTAAGAGACCACTATCCAAACCAAGTTGTTGTTTCTAGATCTCTTTAGATCGATATTTCAGATCTGGTTTTTCCTGAAATTTTTCTGTATTATTTTAAACACTATAATTAATAACACTACGAACAATGGATTTGAACACTGCCATATCCTGTACCATCTTGACCACCTCTGTCATCAAGTGTGCTCAAGTAACCCACTATTAGAGGCACTGTCAAGCCAACTCTTTGAAGGTCCTTCACTGACACTCTACCTTTCCATGCACAATGACCTTTCCTAGTACTGATATCTCCTAACAATATTCCCAAAGTATATGAACAAGGACTCCTAATTATGCTCTTGGCCTATACCAGCTTCACATTAAGAAATTATTAGTGCAGCAATGAATGAATAGAAATCCAAAATCTCTGTAAATGCTCATTAAAATTATTTTTTTAAAAAAGAAATTATTAGTGGTATGACAAAAGTCCAGAATAAGAGCTGCATAGTAAAGTGGTTTTGTGGTGGAAGGGGGAACTGTATAACAATGAAAGAACTTTTTTTTCCAAAGAAAAGGACAAGCTTGGCGGAAGGGGGTCAGGGAGGAAAACGTGCAACAATGTAAGAATGCAAATCCAAGTTCTTTATAAACTTACAATAAAATCCAAAAATGAAGAAAAAAAGAAATCACTGGTGAACAGTTGCACTTAAACCAGTTTTAAGCCTTTCCACAATGAAGGGCAACACTTAATGATTATAAAATACAGGAAGTACAGAGAGAGCTATTCTTTGTTGGTTGCAAATGCCTATTTTACTATGGTGCCAAGGTTAAAATGCAGACTACCTACAAAGGTATGAAGGGCATAAATAATTCTAGGTCTACCTCTGTCATATTCACACAATGAAATACTACGCTGCACTGAAAAACAAGGAACTCATGAAATATTATTCAAAATGGGTGACCTTGGATACATTATGCTGAGTGAAACAGCTCAGTCACAAAAAGACAAATACTGCACAGTGCCACTGTTGTAAAATAGGACTGATATTGGGTTGGGAGAGACTGAGAAATATGGGGTAAGTTATGTATACTGCATTGAAACAGATGAGAGAGAGAACTGTTTAAAGGGGATATATGACTAGGTATTATTGTCATGAAAGGAGTCCAGAACAAAGGCTGCACAATGGAATGGACTTGGGGGGAGGAATTGTATAACAATGAAAAAATTTTTCTTTTACTTTTCAAAATGAAGTCTGTATAGTGGAGTAGATTTGTGGGGAGAGATTAAATAATAATGAAAGAATCTTTCTTTTACTTTTCAAAGAGAAGAGCAAACTGGTGGGGGCAGGGGGAAATTGGGCATGGAGAAAAGTGCAACAATGAATGAATGGAAGTCAAAGTCTCTGTAAACTTCCATTAAAATAAAAAAATAAGGCAAAAATAATTCTAGATCTATCTTATAATTTATTCATTACTTTGCTTTGTTAGAGAGCTCTAGTGGCCTAAAGAATTGATAGTTGTGCTGTCAAAATAAAGGCAGGTGAAGTGGTTCAAATCTAGCAGCTATTTGAGGGAGATAGATGGACAATCTCTTCCCATGCAATTAACAAGTTTTGAAAACACACTAGAGGGTCAGCTATAGTCAGTTCTGAATAACAGGCACAATGAGTTTGTTTTTGAGGGGTTTTTTTTGCTTAAGTACTGAAGTTTTCTGTTTGGTCAAGCAGCATCCAGTAAGCGTGCAGACTTATGAATCACACTAATTAAAAACTTCATCCCCTCCCGCCCCATTTTGCAGCAATAGCATAACTTCCACTTAGCAAAGAAGTCTCTCTGCCAAAGCTGTGAGTTAACGTTTTGTTGAGGGTTTGTTTTTTTTCTCCCCTGTGTATTGCTTTGTTTTGCTTTATAAGAATTTATGGTGTTTCTGACTTTGCCACTGGCACAGATTTTAACAGTGCTCACATATATCTATTGAAAACTAGTCACAGATAGTTAAATGTTTGCACTCTCAAGATTTAATCACTAAGTTCAAGTGAGAATAATATTGCCAATAAATATTATAATTATTTGCAGTTATTTGAATAATAATTATTAAATTTACCTATGGAATAAAAACTTATTTTAATTCTAATTGAGTATGAATTTGACTACAAAAATGATTGTAATATCTCAAAATGTATTTGGCATGCTTTATTCAGCAATAGTTAATTCAACTTATCTTATTGATTTCTCAGGGCATGTTTACACTCTGGCGGTGTAGTTCAGCATGTGTTACATTCCTAAACAAATTACCTGGTTTGAAGCTATTCTAGGAACCTCATATAAATACTTTCAGAGAAATTAGTTGAGATGCAGATAGAAAACATATTGTTAATAGTTTGTTGTCTGAAAGAGTCTATATTCCAGCAAAGCAGGGAAGAGCTAGAGGACAGAATATTGAAGAAATAAATAATTTCACAGAATAAGAAAGATCCAGTTCAGCAGAGAATAAAGATAGAAAAAACAGGGCACTGATAGGAAGAGTCAGCATAAACTGAAATCATTCAGGGTATTTAGCATCCAATTATTTGTCAAAGTAACACACATTTTTGTTGCTTTGGCCTTGTTTCAATTTGGTCTGTCCTGTCGTAACAAAATGTCAACCTGATTATTAGGGGATACTTCACACAGCAGATCATGATGTTTTGATTCAAAAGGTCAACCAGTTTGCCACAGCTCACGAATGCCTGGGATGTCATTTATAATTCCTTCCATTTCATATTTGACAATTTCTAATTATCCTAGATTTATACTTCATGCATTCCATGTTCTACTTATTAATGGATCGTTACAACTGTTTCTTTTCACTTTGAGTTTTGACACATCAATAAATGGATGTCTTTCATTTAAATTGAAGTTTGTTCCATCCTCATCATTACAATAGACTGTACTTTGAGGAGGAAGCTACTTCTGATTCACATTTTAATTCCTTTCAACCTGAGATGAGATAGACTCATGATGACCATACTGAAGCAGACAATCATAAGCCTAGAATGAGAGATGTTTCATTCATTGCCAAAAAGAAAATCTCAAGACTTATCCTAAACTACAATGGTATGAGTGATAGGATAGTATTGACTTATGTATAAGGAAGATCTATTACTAAAGCTATTATTAAATTACATGCACAAACCACTAGAGCCAAAGATAAAGAAATTGGAGTTTTCTATTATTTTTTACAGTCTGACATCAGTAGAACATGCAACCATGATGTTGTTGTTGTTGTTATTTTATACTATCAAGTCAGAACCAACTATAGCTGACTCTCCAGTGGGTTTTCAAAGGCAGTAAATCATATGGGATATTACCGATCTTTCTCCCATAATGTAGTTGACGGATTCAAACGATATGTCTTTGGGTTGTCAGTGCAGCTCCTTACCACTAGACAAACAGAGTTTTATAATTAAGATGTATTAATAATAATTGGTGACTTGAAAACAGGGAAAGACAGAGAGTTGGAAAATGCAGACTAGGTGACAGAAATGAAGCTGAAGATTGAATGATAGAATTTTCATAATGAATAATTTATTCAATGTAATTTTTTTAAAAAGACAGACATACACATGGACCTGACCTGATGGACTACATAGGAATGAGGTTGGCTATATATATGGAAAGAGTCAATGAAGAAGTTCAATATCAGCAGTCAAAACCCAGCTAGGGACTGACTGTGGAACAAACTATGAACTACTATATGGGGCCAATATGGACAAAAACTGCATAAGTCCATTATTGTAAAAACAGAAGTTGTTGTTGTTGTCATTGTTTTGCTTTCTAGTTGAGCACAACTCATTGCCCCCCGATGAATAAAAGGCCTGAAGCCTTTCCATAAATATCGACATATATCAAAGTTCATAGAGTTTCTGGAGACATGTTGTTTAGGAAGTGGATGCCACTCCTGCTTCCAATCTAAAAGATTAAGTGTTGCCATTCGACCCTAAGAAAACCTAGGAAAGTGTCCGTCATACACAGAAGAGATAGGATAACTAGTAAAACATGTACAAACCTGATAAATAAAAAAGTTACTATTGAAAAGGAAATAACTAAAACAGACCAAGAGAATCAAAATAAGACCTTAAGCCTTAAAAACAAGAATAGATTTGACACATTGAGAAGTAATGACTAAAGACCAAATGAGTTGTGATGTAGTAACAAGAACATCATTGATAAAAACAGCAAGATGTCATTAAAAATACATAGAAGAAAAGACTGAAAGAGTATCTCAAAAGAGATCTAAAATTTGCATTGGAACAAAAAGAAATAAAAACTATGGGAAGGAATCCTAAATAAAAAAAGTTGGCCAGAAAATTTCAAAGGATAACTCTGGGGATGGGTTGGGGGGAAATGTACCATCATGAAATGTCTAATGAACT